TAAGAATTCTTATAGAAAGCAATGTAGATTTGTCATAGTAGTGGTTTCCAGTGTATGGGTTTCAAAGAATGTTAGAGCTTGACCAGTTAAAAATGTGTGCTAAAGTTCACAAAAAATAGTCGTTGCTCTGATTTCGTGCAGTAAATTTGTATAAACCAGTGATTATATACATTCATTTATGAATAACACATTTAATATATATTATGTCTGTTGTGTGAAATTTTATTAATTAATTAATTTTAGGTAAAATTGTGAACCATTGGGCGCACACACAAACAAGAAATAGATGAAATAGCATGGCATCAATATTGGCTTGAATTCAGAGCTGTAATGTTAATTTTCAAGTATTTGAAGACCTATTTCTGATGAAAATTGAAATGTTGAATAACACAGTTCACCTTATTAATTTTCATTTGTATTTATTTAACAAAATTCTAATGAAATCAAAATTTATTTGTCCTGTTGTTTACTTTCCATTCTCACTCTATACTTGAATGTGGCTTTTGTTAAACTTGGCATATGTATTAGCCACTTTATACTAGTGATTAATAGTTTATGCTTATACAGTAAAGCCTTGCATTTAAAATAAATGCTTTATATGAGGATAATGGGAGGGAAGTTCTCTCTCACAACCCTACTCTGAGCCATCTCTTATATCCTGTGCAAAACTCATGCTTTTGCTTGTCACCGAGACATTTACCTGCATCTGTAGCACCATTGTTGTTCAGTACTTTATCTCACCCTCAATTACTCTTACACAGATTTTATATATATCAGTTTAGTCTTCAGTTTAGTGAATGAAGGAAGGGGTTTGTCATATTTTATTATAGGGTTAACCACATGCCGCCGGGGAAAAAGAATGAAAAATGGGGAAACTTCTATGCTCATTTTTTATATTTTTGAAATGTCTCTACATATAGATGGCTCTGCTAGTGCTTAGCCACAAAGGAGTCAATTAATAGACCTTGTGACCTTACTTGATTTCACCTTCCCTTGAATTGGCAGGAAAAACATATTTTTTCCTAGTGCTATGGATATCAATGGTATTATTTTTATTATAAACATTATAAATACTATAATGATATAAACGTTAGTAACCGCAAAATAAGATAACGTAAAATATTTTCTAAAATCAAGGAAAAGGATAACTGGGTGAGACAGGCAGCAATTGGTTCATTGGTGACTTAGTACAAGTATAGCCATCTATGTATAAAAACAATTAACCCATTGCCGCTGGGGAAAATGGACAAAAAATGGGGAAAATCCTGTACCCATTTTTTTTATTTTTGTGAAATAACTCTGTACATAGATGGCTCTGCTAGTCCTGATTTCACCTTTCCTTGAATTGATGGGAAAAAACGTATTCTTACTAGTGCTATAAATATAGATGGTGTCATTTTTAACAGCAAATTAGGATAACGTTAAATATTTTTGTAAATCGATGAAAAGGGTGAACGGGCGAGACAGGCAGTACTCGTAATTGGCTCATTGGTGACTTAGTACAAGTGTAGCCGTCTATGTGTAAAAACAATCAAACAAGACAACTCACAGTGGGTATGGCATGTATGTACATGCCATCCCCGGCGGCAATGGGTTAAACAAGTAAACTCACAGTGGGCATGGCATATATGTCAGCATTGGGTTAATATGGTAGGCAACTACAAAATTTGATTGCATAAAGTGATGCAGGGTGGTAATTGGTAAAGATCACCAAATGCAAGGTTATATTGTATATCTGTAGACTTTAGCACAGATACCAGAGTCATTAATTAATCTAAGAAAAAGTTGGAACCACTATTATGTAAATTCCCTCTTAGAAAGCTAATAAGTCAGAAAAAGTTAGAACCATTGTTATGTGAATTCCTTTTAGAAAGCTCCTTTTGTACTTGCATTTGTTGTCTTTGGTGTAATATTGTCTCCATAATTTCTGTATTCTTGTGTCTTGAAACTGAGAGTTAGTGGTTGAATGCAAATTATTTTCATTTAATTTTCTTGGTCTCATTGTGCATAGACACTTTAATTTTAAAGTGAGCCAGTCTCTTTATAAGTTGTGCCCAGTGAATTAGATTTTTAACATATAGAATTGTATGTCCATTTGAAAGGAAGGATTCATTAGGCTTGGAATTTCAAAGATAACATTAATAAAAAGAAAATGAGACTAGGAGTATTTATGTCTTGTAGAAATTTTCCATTTAAAAAGAGTATGAGCATCTTTGTCTAGTAGAATATGAAATACCTATTTAAAAAAAAAAGAAAAAAAGAAAAAAAGTGCCATCTTGATATGATAGCCTTTGTGAATGCACTTCCAGCACTCTTCGTCGTTTAGTTCACATGCTTCTTTTGCGTCCAGATCCTTCTTATGTGGCAAGGTGGGAAGGCATGACAACTTTTCAATGTGAATAGTAATGTGAATATTATATATTTATTATTATTATCATCATTATTATTATTGTTATTATTTTATTTTTTAATTTTTTTCATGTTTCTGACACAAGTGGTTTTCTGTGACTACTTTTGCCTTTCAGAGCTTTGTTTGTTTGTTTTTGTCATTTTTGTTTGCACTGACTGACAAGTAAGGCTTAGGTTTTCAAGGAGGGAGAGAGTAATTATTCACATTTCTGTTAATGATGGGAATGTTGATATCTTTACAAAAGTGTGCTATGCTAACCTTAAAAAGGTTTTTGAGAATGTCCCTCTGAAATATAACTTGTACAGTATTACTAATTAAATAATCAGTTTTGCTACTCCTTAGAGAAAAAAAAATATGGCTGCTCAGCTACTGTAACAAAGTTCATCTATAATCTTTTAAGTTTATTAAGGGGGGTGGGGGGAGTAATCAGAAATGTTCCTTTGAAATGAGGTAATCAACTTTTCATATACTGCATACTTAGCATGGTTAGAAGCATGTACCTTTCATTTATGTCTCTTGCTGCATGGAATTTTGTAGATACTTTATACATTTGGTAAGGCCTAATATATAATATCACAGGTTATGTATAGTATTTACACATCAAAGAATTTAAATGTCACTGATTTAGTATTTATAGTACATTGCACTGAATTTATGCCTAATATATAATATCACAGGTTATGTATAGTATTTACACATCAAAGAATTTAAATGTCACTGATTTAGTATTTATAGTACATTGCACTGAATTTATGAGTTCCATTGATGAATTAAATGCCCTGGTTTTGGTTTGTTTTTGTTGCTTGCTAGGATAAAAATATACTTGACTGTTAGATTTTCTTTATTTTTCTCTAAACAAGCATAGGTATAATGACAGTTGTTCATTTGTCAAGTTTTGTCATGTAGCTTAACTTTCTAAGTTAAAAAGCACCAGAATACTTATGCAGGTAATCTTATTTCAAGTGAAATGAAAGTGTGTTAAGTATCATGTACAACAAATATATATATATTTTTTCCCATACATACAAGATGAATTTTCTTTCGTAATAGTACATGGAACATAAACTATTAATCTCCTTTAATTTAAATTTAACAAGTTTCCATGAATTGACATTAATACACTCTCCTCTCCACAGACATCTGAAGCAGCTGGGCGTGGTGGTGGGTGAGCACAGCACTTGGCTCAAGGTTGGCCTGGGCGTAGCTGCCATTGCTGCCTTTGCGCTCCTCCTTGCCAGGGCTCTCAGGTCGGGAGAGAGATAGTCACCCGAGGCCCAGCATGCTAGTCCTTTGTAGTGTAAACAGAAAGAGAAAGCTGGTTGGGATAAATGTCAGTTGTATAAAAGGACAGATAAAGATAGTTGGTGAGACACAGGGGTGGGAGGATATGGAAGGGAAGGGAAGGGGAAGGGGAAGGACATCTTTCTTTCCTTATGCAGCTGCAACATCTTGCATAAGACTAGTTCTTACAGATATTAACATTATGGTAGGTGCAAGAATGCATTATAATTTATATGCTATTGTATGATAAGGGGATATTTTTTTAGAAATGTGTTTTGGTATTCAAGAACTAATGGATTCACAATTCTTGCTTGTCATGAAAACTTTTTTATACTTTTTTTTTTTCCTTTTCATTATTTTTTATGTGCCTGGAAATTGGCAATTGCAGTGGATTACTCATGTAATGAGAATTGGTCTTGAAATTAAATGTGATTTATAAATCTACTTTTACACTTATATATGTGGTGTGTGTACTTTTTCAATCATGCCAAAACTTTCATTGTGTATATGTAATTTACACAAATGTAAATAAAAGCAGAATATATTAGTTTTATGTAATTTCTCAACCTGTAAATTAGAGAAAAACAAAAACAAAACAAGTTAAACATTGGTGACCTAAATCTGGCATATCTACATTAATTCAATTCCCATTTATCGCTAAAAAGTTGCACAAGAAACAGTGGGCCACATATTTGTTAAAGGCCATTCATTTCAATACTTGTGAAGTCTTGTGCAGCAGTTGGAGGTTTTGTGAAGTACTGTTACCTTTCCAGAAGGAAATCCTCAATTGTTTGCTATTCAACACATAAGCAAACAGTTATAATTTTCAAAGCAACTTGGGATATTTAGAGATTTTTAAAGATGGTACAAGAATGGTGCACCCTCCCCCTTCCCACCATCTTCCATGTTTTTGGAATATTGCAACAAGGTATAAAACAAAAATAGAATCATGTATAATATTCTCTATTGTTGGTTGATATAGATACATCACTGCATCACAATTGTTTGTACAAAACCATTTTTCTATTGTTGATACAGACATCCCAAGGTCACACTAAAATAAACAGGAGCATATTGGACATAATTTGCTAGCATTCCAATAATTAGGCTAATTGCAAGGAAAGTTAATTTACCTTAAATATCAATTTAATTTTATTGAGGAGAAGGTAGCAAGGGCTTCAACTTAATCTTTACTTTCACATTATAAAAAAGGGAAAGGATAATTCTTATCTCCATTTCTTGGATAAATCCACAAATTTATAGTCAAAGGATTTTTATTATTATTATTATTATTATTATGCATATCCAGGTCCAAATGTTAAACCCATCATTGTTAAGCAAGATTTAGAGAAAAACAATAAGACATTGAATCTGTACAGTTTTCAAATATGCAACCATTTGTAAATTCCATATAATAAAGTTATCACCAATTTAATTCTTGTATTTTAACTTCTAAGAACTTCCTTAAAGTAAATTCTCACAGTTCATATCTACACTGATGAAACATGTACATAGATACCTACACCATACAAACTTTATATGAATATTCAATGCACCATAAATATATGATGAATTGTGTGTGCTTTTATGATGAACAAAAACTAGAATAATGGTAAAAATAGTTTATTACTTAATATCCATTAATGACTCAGTGGAGGAAATATATTTGTAGGAACAGGTACATAAGGGAGGGGGGTGAAAATATACAGTATACCTAAAAATAAACACTTCCCGGGAAGATAGATTCTCTTGTCCGAGGATATCTTTTCTTGACTGTTAGATCACTGAGAAGGTTCAAATAAAAAAAAAAAAAGTAAAGAGTGAGCCATGTCACTTAAAACAGAGAATGGAATGAGATGCTTGTCACGTATTTCAAAAACATAAAAAGATGCCGCTTTCTGCAATCAGCATCGCATAGGCGTACTCAATCCCTCTAGAAAAGTTCATTCATGGAAACCCCCAAACCAAATGTGTCTGCTGGCAAGAACACCACTTCTAGGCCCCTTCCCACCAGCAGATGCACTGAAACCAGAAGTGCAATGCTTCTCAATAACTAATTACTATCTCAAGAACTCTCCATGCTTCCTGTATTGTGATGGCTGCGATTCTCTCTACTCAAAGGGAGCGGACATTGCCTTGGCCTGGGCTCGTACTCTTTTCTCGTATTCCAGACGGTTTTGACTGGAAGTGGGGGAAAAATGAGAGTAATTTACTATACTTGCACTAATAATAAATGACAAAAATTATTACAACTTCAAAGATATTTGTAGTATATACATGTATTAAAAGCTTGGTGATGGAATCAAGTTACTTTTACTTTTTTTTTTCTTTATTTTATTTGAACATACAAGATTACTATCTATTATACTATTATCATTTCTGTTACTATCTACTCTCTATATGTAAGAAAAGAACTAATGAAAATCCCCTAAATCTTGGTAACCGCATTCCTTCTGTTCACAAAACTTTTCAAATTAATCTTAAAAAAGGAGCAGCTGATAAATTAACCATACAAGAAATAAAAAAAATTAGAAAAATTATATATATGTAACAAATATATATAATATATATAATGTATATAATACATGTATAGACAGATATACTAACCAGTAAATAGTGTAGGCTTCAGCTTGTGCAGGGTCCTTGATGTTGGGGTCATTAAGCAAGTCCTGAATACCCAAAAGGATTTGCTTGATGGTAATTGCAGGTCGCCAATCCTTCTCTTCATCCAGGAGTGACAAACACACTGTTCCTAATTGGGCAAAAAATAAATAAATAAATAATAAAAAAAAAATAAATGAACAAATAAAAAGTAAAAAGGATGAAATATCTCTTCACTAATTTTATGAAAACCAAAAACAGGTTCTATAAAAGTGAAAAGGCATTTAAACAAACACTTCTGCCTGCCAAACATGCCCTCTCCTTCCTTCCCCTACTCAAGACATTTTTATTTACCTGATGGGTAAACATTGGGGTGGAACAGAGGAGGTTCAAACTTGCACTTGGGTGGGGTTGATGGGTAGTCATCCTTGAAGATCATTCGCAGCCTGTACAGTCCATTTTCCCAAGGAGTCTGTGCCATGAAATAATACATTGATACACACTATGAAATACTGGCTTCAAGGTATTTCAAGGCAAATATACTACTGGTTTTGTACTCGCAAGAAACACATCAAATGAGTAATTCCTTAGAAAACTACGGATCACATCCTTTATTACACTGAACGCACCATATACTTTACTGTTCTGCAAAAGGCAAATATAACCAGAACAATTATTTTTGTCAAATATTAAAGAAATTCAATGATTGATGAACTATTGTTAATACTAATAGAAAAGATTAAAAATGAAATGCACAACTTTGCTCATCTTACCCCCTTCTTTCCTGGAATGGCACACTCCCAGTTCATGAGATTCAGAGTGCCATCAGGGTTCTTTGTCGGTCTTGCAATAAAACCCTGTGAGAGAGAGGGAAAGATTTTTCATGAGTTGTTGACAACAATGGCACTGAAACTTTCCTTGAAAAAGTTAAATATTAAACCACAGTTGCACTGGATTCAAACCTAAAAAGCAGTTTACCGAAAGAAACGAAAGCTGTACTCTTAATAATATGAACCAAAATAACCTTTCAAAATCTATTATCAGATATATAAAATGTCTTATGTGAGATAGAATTTAAACTTACAAATGGATGATCTTTCCTCCATGCCTTTCTCTCCTCTGCTAGTCGTGCAATGGCAATTCCAGACATTATGGCTTATCAGTATGATGCTCTCTGGAAGAAAGAAAACAATACTTTTTAAAGCGATTGATGATGGATGATGACGACAAAACTAAGGTCAACTATTCAGTAGGCATACCAACCATATTACTATACTATTCATATCACTAAGCATAAGTTGCTGAAATAGAAGGGTTATATGGTCATCTTGACTCAAACTTCCCTGACCCCATAGTAATAAAAGAAAGTAAGTCATTATATGCAAGATCAAAATTTTATGGAAATGTATGAACATTGGTCTAGTATTACTATCTATTAACCCATTCGCGCTGGGTAAAAATTAACAAAAAATGGGGGAAATGCTGTGCTCATTTTTTATATTTTTTAATGAAATTTCTCTACACTAGATGGCTCTGCTTTACCGGATTTCATTTGGCGGGAAAATGTATTTTTACTAGTGCTATGAATATCGATGGTTATTTTTATTATAAACATTATAATTGCTATAATGTTATAAACATTAGTAACAGCAAAATAAGATAACGCAAAATAATTTTGTAAATTAAAGAAAAGGGTAAACAGACGAGACAGGCAGTACAAGTGCAAGTGGAGCCATCTATGTTTGTAAACAATCAAACAAATAAACTCACAGTGGGCCCGTCACGTATACGTGACGCCCGGCGCGAATGGGTTAACCCATAGGATCCGGGTACCTTGCTGCATGTGGCCTAAAGTCAGGGTATTAGGCTTTCTAGAGGTCCATATAACAACTTAAGCCCTGGCATTGTGCTATACTCTCCAGAATTGATTAACAAAGATCCCTCACATATATTCCGGTAGAACACAGACTGTACATCTCCCTGGACATGTACTGTACTGTCATACAAGTACCCAATACAAACAATATATCTGGTAAGTTTGTTGTCATTTGCTGTGGTGCAAATACTGGGGCCAGAGCACTGCTTGATGCAGTTCTCTTGTAAATAATAATTTATTTATCAGTTCAATAGCGGAAGATGGATGGTTTAAGCTGTAGAAAGAAAATTACCCATTCAAAATTGCACCAGTGAACAGATATCTTTTATTATTGCAAACTAAAACAGTGGCACTGCTCACTGATAAGGAAGGTTTTAACCCATTCGCGCCGGGCGTGACGTATACGTGACGGGCCCACTGTGAGTTTACTTGTTTGATTGTTTACAAACTGTTTGCCCTTTTCTATAATTTACGAAATTATTTTGCGTTATCTTATATTGCTGTTACTAATATTTATAACATCATAGTAATTATAATGTTTATAATAAAAATAACCATCGATATTCATAGCACTAGTAAAAATACATCTTCCCGCCAAATGAAATCCGGTAAAGCAGAGCCATCTAGTGTAGAGAAATTCCATTAAAAAATATAAAAAATGAGCACAGCATTTCCCTCATTTTTTGTTCATTTTTACCCGGCGCGAATGGGTTAAGAAATAACCCTCAAATTTCTTGACCATTAAGCATATTTACAAGTTACAATACTTGGCTTTATTATAACTGTAAACTCAAAGAAATAAAGCACTGATAAATGCAAATATTACTGGCCTACTTTACCATTAGAATTTTGTCCCCTACAAGAACATCATCTTTAATTTATCTTGGCATTGTGTCCCTGTACCATAAAAATTATCACTTTCCAGATTAAGCATGGTGTAAGTTTGTTGTTTTTTGTTGTTGGACCAGTATTCAGCTTCAGAGAATATAACCACTATAAAATGTCAAAGGAAATTTCAATCAGATTTAGAGAGAACACAGCTAATATACATAGAAAAATTATCTTTGGAGAGTCACTGCAGAGTGGGGAGCTACATGATGACCATGAGCCAGCTATCTAAAATTCATGAACCTGGAACCTCATGTAACCAGAACAAACTGTGAGGTACAATGGCCATACTCGAAACAACTCGACCAACCAGCCTCAAAAACTTGTACCAGAGCTGTATTAGTAGGTGATCCTTGAAGAATGTTAGATTGCCTTCTGCTTCTTACAATGCATCTGTGTACCATACACATTTCATTTTTTTACCAACTAATTGATACAAAAATAAAAACAAGAAACATGGCAAAACAACATGGACCTCCTTTACCCAATGAAGTTACTGGCAGCACAATGATAAAACAAGGCATGGAGGAAGAAACAGGCAACTTTGGTTCATCTACATACAAGTGATATACACATTAACACTGCAGAACGACAGTTGTAAGAGTTTAAGACTGAGGCTTTAAAACTATTTATTTACTTATTTTCCCCCCTAAATAAAGGTTATATCTTATCAAGGGTTACAATAGGCTGAGAGAGAGACAGACAGAGAGAGATGGTGCTTACTACCTCCAACAGGCTTACAGTTGTCAAACTGCTGGGTGATTTTTTTTTAGATTTAGACAGCCATCTAACTTGGCAATTATTAATGAAATGAAAGTACTGGTAACTACTTATGAAGTGACTGCACCACTGATACTACATTCCTATTGCTCCAGCCACTCTGGAAATCCACAAACATTGCTGTATGTACTACAAACCTTCCTAATGTGAGGGCTTCGCCCCTAGACCTACATACGATCACCATACTTCCCTGCTGGAAGCTTTCTAGATTTCTGAGATTATTCTTTCTTACTTTCTAATTACCAACTTGCAAGTTAACCTTGTACCATATGGCTGTGAGAAACAAAATAGAGCCTATGTCTTCATAATATAGCAAGGATTTTATATGGTATGATGTCTGGAGATCAATATCCTTGACCTCATATCGGATGCACTCACCAGAGACTAAGCCCCCAACACCAGATCACAAAATTGATTCAACAATCTCAGTTGCCATGAGGGCAGAGTTGATGGGAAGTTCTGCCCCACCCCTCCACCCCCCATACATATCACTGCTCAGAGACTATGAGTGTGTGAAAGTGTTGTGGTCTGAGTTGTCAATTTTGTGTTTTCTATAAGCTGGCAAGTGCTAAGTAAGGAAGGTGGGTGGGTGGGTGGGTGGGGGGGCATGTTACCCATTCCTCCAGCTCTTCCCCCAAAGCCACCTGTTCTTCCTGCTCGTTTAACACCAATT